GCCACGTTGACGTGGCGGCTCTCCTGCGGGGACACCAGACTCGGGCAGCCATCTCCTGCGGACGGGTTTGCACTCAGGTTTCTCTGGAGGATTATTCCTAATTGCAATGTGCTCCGGTTGCAAAAATGAGCCGTCCTGCTCCACGCACGTGGGCGCCCCGCTCCCGCTGCCAACTCTACTCGACTCAGGGTCCAGCAAGGCCATAAAAATGCTGTTTTCCAGCATTTCTGAGCATGCAAACATGCCCTTGAGGGGAAGGTAACATCCAGGCATCCCTTCCCTAAACGGGCAGTGGCCACCTTTGGAAATCTCTCCATCCTGGGAGATGTTTTTCCTGCGGGTGAGTGCAAGAAGCCTGAACCCCGCAGGAGACCCTTTACTCAGGGGAGAGGCAAGTGGCTCCAGTGGGAAACAGAGTCCCTTTGGCCCTCTGGATGTCCCTGCACGTCCCATGCTGGGGCATGGGCTCCATCCCACGACGTGTGCTTGTCCCCCTGCTTCTCACCACCCACCTCTTCACTAGCAGTGTGAGGAAAGCCCCGCGGTTGGTTTGGGGGCTCAAGAAGAAGCAGCGGGACAGGATCAGCCCCTGGCTCCCTCTGTGCCGAGGCAAGGAGCATCCTGCTCTCCCGTGCAGAGCCCCACGGCCGTGAGCACCCAAATGTGGCCTCATCCTGCCCAGGCAGGCGCATCGCTCCATGCACATGGGCCAGCGGCAGCCAGAGAGGGATGATGTGGTGGGACAACCTGCAGGTTGGGTTCTTCCCCAGCCCCTCTCACCCGGGCGAGCTCCACAGTGGGGGGGCAGGGTGGGGAAGGACAGAAAGAGCTTTCTTGCTCCTTTTGTCCCTCCGTAGCTCAATCCAGGCGGGGTTAAGGCTCTTCCTGGACATCACAAGCCAACTGTGGGGCTGTTTCTGCTCTCAAGCCCCTGGGTCCAGCCACTGTGATCTCCTCCTGGGTGCTAGCAGGTCCTGGGGAGCGTGGGAAGGGCCCATGCTTTCTCCTCCCATGCTGTGCCACCTGAGCTGCTTGTGGTACCACTGCTGACACCATCACCTGGTCAGGGACTCCCCCACCCCAACTTGAGCCCACGCCTCAGGAGCCTCATGCACATCCTGACATACCATGATGTGCTCCCTGCCTGGACCTCCTGGGGCATATGGAGCATGGGACACCCCTGGACCACCCGTGCTCTCCAGCCCTGGTCCCCACGCGTGCCACCCACCCGCCTCTCCCATGCTCCCAGACCCAGCCTGGGGCTGCAGATTGTCCCCAGTGGGAGACCCAGCTGCAGTTCAGCTCGCTGAGCTTCCTCCCTCGACTTGCAGCACCGGCGTGCCCCTTGTCCCCCTCTCCCCACGGCACTCGTGCAGGTCCCAGCAGAGAGCCCTGTCCCCCAGCTCCAGCTCCACCCCCC